AACTCTCCCTGTCTCTAAAGGATCCACAGCCTCCAAACATACTGTATTCTGACAAAAAAAGTTATTCATTTTTGTTTCCATTCTCTGGATGCTCCCATTTGCAACACTTTCTGTGAAGGACTGTCACCAGCTGGCTGGAGACAAACAGCATTTCTCATTGAGCCATGACAGGCTGCCACTCTACAGGGCCCAGAGCAATGAATTCCTCTCCCAGCGACTCACTGTGGCATTTGCCCCTTTGCAGCCTTCTGCTGCTGCTATCAGTGCACTGTGCTAGAGAAAGGACCAGATCTCATTTAAAACAGATGATACATGATGTTTGTTGCTGCAGATGCTTGAAAAACACCAACTTCACCTTCATCAGTGACCAGTTAAAATAAATTATGCAAAAATGGGACTGATTTGCTTTAGGAGTGATACTGAGACTTTGCAGGAGGAGCTGGGAAGGAATATTAGGGAATGCTGGTTTTATGCAAGGTAAGAAATGCAGTTGCAAATCTGCAATCCATGAATTCCAAAACAAAACGCAGAGACCTGAAAAAAAGAGAAAAATTCTTTCTCCCTGTAGCCATATTAAAAATGTATGTATTTGGTGAACTGAAACAGAACCACTAGGATTCTAAAGGCCAAAATTCAGTATTCTCTAGCAGACAAGTGCACCCTGACTACTTTTCTTTTTAGAAATCTTGTCAGTGGAAATTTGGCTTTGCAAGACCGACCTGTCCCCTATCACCTGCCTCAACTATAAGCCCTAAATTTAAATGCATTTTCCTCAGCTTTGATACAATATTTTGTCTTTGACGGGGTTTAAACTAGGCTTTATGGTCAGTGCCCTTATTGGAATGGTCTTCACAGACCAAATGACCATTTTTGGTGGAATTTATGTTAGTTATTTAAATTGCAGCAGATGGTAATTTTTTCAGCAAAGAAAAATTTCTAGTTTATTGCTTTAGGACAAGATAAATAAGGTTGATTTTCAGATGTTTAGAGATGAAAATCTGTTAAAGCTGTGGGCCTAAAATGCAGATTTCTTGTCAACTTTAATTAGCTTCTGTGAACCCTAAATTATGTAGTTATTTAAAACTAACCACGGTGAAGAAAAGCTGTTTTGTCAACTTTCTGTTGTTCACACTCATCCAAAAAGATGACAAAGTGACACTGAAATGTGAATTGTATGTCAGTGAGAAACGAATTCCAAACCCTGGAATTACAAAATGATTCAGAAGGACCTGACAGAGGCTAAAATGAGAGGAACAATAATTTCTTATAGAAAAATCGAAGTGTAAACATACTAAGCATGATGTCAATGAAAACCTGTGATATTTCTTAGGGCAGAGAAAAGCACCTGTAGGGTAGATACGCTGAGAAATCCCTGTAGTTATTCCATTAGAGCTTTTCCATTCTCAGTAATACAGTGGTGTTGCCACTGTAGTTTAATATGCTCACACTGTGTTTGCTAATGGTAATAGAAGACAAGAATTAATTTTGAAAGATGTTTGCACTATACAAATGACCACAGACCCTATTCATTATTTACACAGTCATTAGGCAAATTTCACAAATCCTCATTCTTCACATCTGAGCACTGTGCAGAAATCTTCTCTCTGTAATTACTTTTTACAACGTGAGAGGGCAGAAGCTTTATCGTTCTTCAACAACAGAATAGTCTCTGCTCTTCTTTATCCTTCCCAACAGAAGACCATTTGGGGAATGGATTATTTTCTGGAAATAACGTACTGGAGTACAAACTAAGAATTTGGGAAGAGACTGTCTTTGCGAACCTCTGTTCAAGTTTGGGTGTACAGAATATAAAGTTTAATCACAAAATCAAGCAGATTTCAGATCACTAATTCATCCTTCAATAGAAACCTCAACATCAAAACTATCTGTTACCTCTTGCAAGGAAGAAAGAATATATTGTTGCAGGATATTTTGCAGAAAAAAATCAAGCTCCTCACATATGCACTCTCCATCACTGAGACTACTTGTTGTGCAAAATAAACAACAGAAAATAACTAATAACATGAGATGTAATTACTAGGGCTACCTGCAAGTAAAAAAAAAGCTAACAAATAAAGAGGTAATTTAATTCAAATAACATTCAAATAGATGTGGGTTTCTAACATATGCTCGAAGTTGCCATTTAAAATCCTAGCCTATTCTACCTTCTTCTCTCAGAAGAAAGAAAAGCAGATTTTTTTCTGATATGGGAGTCCCAGGTCATTGCAGTGGCACAATAATTAGATCAAAGTCAGAAAGTGTGCAGTCACTGTAGATGCACATGGCACAGAGTATAAGATGGTCACTTCTTCACTATCAGCCTAATCCCAGGGCTATTTTATCATCTTCTTCATTAGGAATATGCAAGATTTTACTCTTCTGCAATTCTGTGCAAAGAGAAAAAGAGGATATTCCTCACAATTGTGGGATATTATAACTCCTGAACAACCCCTGAGAACCTTGTAATGACTGCACGAGTCATTCCAAAATCTCTTACGTCCTTGGCTCTTTTAACTGATCAATGTATGGGATTAACATTATAAATAACTAGGAAGATAATAAGTAGGAAGATAAGTAACTAGGAAGATAATCTTTAGGTATAAACAAACGGTTTTTATGATGAGGGTCTTTTCTATAGACACATTAATTCAGAATCCTGTAGCTGTTTCTCTAATAGCTCTGTGCCTCAGACTCAAAATAGACCTGAAATGCTACTCGAGTGAAGACTTTTGCCTTTTGTAAAAGGATGTATTTTTAGAGGACTTCAGTATAGTTTTTGTTAATCTTCCTTTGCTAGTGTCTGTACAAGCAATCCTCATAAATGTTTGTGAAACTCACTTCTATTAGGCAGAATGATACTGAAAGCAGATACGACCTCTTCCTGCCATTTGTGTGCATTCACACTGAAATCTCTAATTAGAAAGGGTAAAACCTGTAGCAGGAATGCATCTGATTGAACACAGTCTAATCAAGGAGCTGGGGTGCTGATTGCTATTAAAAGACAAGAATTTCTGAAGTGCCTATAAAATTCAATTTGCTAACATCAAAAGCAAATGAGACTGCCAGAACCAAAAATAAATCAAAATTTATCAAGGAAATAGTTATGAATTATTTTTTCCACACTTACACTACTGGAATTTGGTGTTTCAGCACCATCCCCTGAAGGGTCTGCCTTTTGAATCCCATAATAGAGCCCTGAAGACCTTGGCCCGTGCTCACCTCTGCTGTGCCTTTGTCACCGGGGTGAGGCAGTTGTCAGCAAAGCAATGCGTAGAGCAGAAAAAAGAGCCAACAGTAGAGGTCAGCCATGAACTGTAGATTTCCTCTCCAGATTTCTTGCCTGAACAATTCCTGCTGTTTACTGTACACCCAAAAATATCTGGGGCACCTGTGCCAAAACAGCAGTGGGTACACAGGAGTAGGAGGAGAGAATGAGTTTCCTTTCTGTAATGAAACAAAGCAAAAATCCAGGTACTAAGAACACTGCCATGGGAAGGTTGAAGTACAAATGAATAATAACCCTTTTTTTTCCTGCAAATAATACAGAGCTGCCCTAGCAACTCCTTCCTGTCTACTAACTGGTCCAAAAAGGTCAAAATCTCACAGAAAAAAAATACCCACCACAAACCAAAAAACATCAGCTATGACTTGGCTTTTGTAGAGTTACCTTTGCCACTTGCTGGCTTCCACTACCCCTTGGTAAAATTGTTTGGCATGTTGGCTCATTGGAAAAGGGGAATGTTTCAGTCCTGCTGTGTGTTACACCTGAAACACACAATGCACCAATGTGCTGGGCTACTCAAGTTGACTCCAGTTTCATCTGTTTTTTTTTTTTCCTAAACATTTAAAAATACTTAAACAATAGCTACATAAATTAGGTCAGTGCTTAAACCAAACCAGATAAGCTGGATTTTTAAAGCTAAGAATTAGCATGGACTAATAAACTGCTGTTTAATGGTTATTTGAAAAACAAGCATTTAGTTACCCCTTGCACACTTCAAAACCATTTGTCCTTAAGTGCAGCTGCCTTGGACATTCATTTAATGCAGCAACTGGATTTGAAGGACAGAGATTTTGACTGAAAGAACCCATGCATGGTCTCAAAAAATGTGCTTAGAGTTGCAAACGGGAACCAGACAATCAACAAAATGCATTGAATTTTCTAGGCCAGCTTCCCAACTGTGATGCATTATACCCACACCAGGCAGGAGCTCAGGCATCATTTTTTCTGTCATGTGTTTGTCAAGCACTGAACCCAATGCCCCATGCCCATGGCTGTTTTCCCCTTATCTACACAAAACATCCAGCACCTGAGCCCACAGACCTGCATCTGCTGGGTGCAACATAATTTTGGCCTTCACCCTCCTGCCCTAAATGTGACCAAGCTCCTGGCTGAGGTCAGCAGGGACTGCCCTGGTGCCCACCCTGGCTGCCTGCCCCTGGCCCCCGGCAGTGGATATCCTACCCGGGGCACTCGCTCTGCTGCCCTTTCGGCTAATTCACGCCTTCCACAACAGCAGCCGCTGCCGATGGCGAAGGAGAATGACCGAGCACCTGTGCCGGGGAGGGCAGTGATGCTGGAGGCCAGCTCTGTGGCCCTGGGGGCCCTGATGCCCTGTGGTTTTTGGGCCAGGGCGGGCAGGGTGTGCTCCTGTGCCGGCTCCCCTTCCCTCCCAGCCTTGGCCCCCGCGGTGCCGCTGCGGGAACTCGTCCCCGGCGGGGCTCGGGGAGGGCGGCGGGCGCGGCTGCCCAGCAGGGAAGGGGCCGCCCCCGCTCTCGCCTCTATAATGCTGGGACCCCCTCGCCGACCACTCCGCATCGCTCCTGCTGCTGCAGCCGCCTGCGAGCGACTCCACTCCCTTCCCTCCGGCCCGGGGTCGTCCGAATATTAGGGGCGGGAGGGAGCTCTACCGGCGGGAGGAAGGGCGCGGAGGCGGGTTCGTCAGCATCTCTGCGCTCCGCCCCGCCCCGCCCCGCCCCGCCCGGGCCGGCGGCGCCGTAGGGCGAGCAGAGCTGCGGGCGCAGGAAGGGGCCGAGTTGTCGGAGGTGCCCAGGGCGCCGGCGGCTCCTAGAGGGCCGGATCCGTGGCGGGAGAAGCTGCGGCTGCTGTTGCTGTGTCCGTCCGTCCCTCGCGGCGCCGGCGCTCCCGGGATGGGCCTCCCGGAGCTGTGGCTGTGGCTGCTGGCGTCGGCGGGGATCGTGCGCGGTGAGTGAGGGGGCGGCGGCCCCGCGGGCAGCGCCGGCAGCAGCGGCGGGGCGGGCGGGACAGCGGGAACGGCAGGGACAGCGGCCCTGGTCCGCCCCGGCACGGCGGGTCTCTCCTTCAGCCTCTCTCCGCTGCGTCCCCATCCCCGGCCGCACTGGGGGCTTGCGGGGCTGGTTCCGACCGGGAAGGGACACGGGAGACGGGCAGAGCGATGGGGATGGGGGAGGGAACTCCGTCAAGGGACTTAAATGGTGACCTGTCCCTGGTCTACGGTGCTTCATTCATGTGGACCTGCTCCCTCTCCCTTCACAGAAAAACGGTAGAATAAAAATTAGATTTGAAGCGTAAAAAGGACAGAAATCCCTGAATATTATCATGTATATTAATGTAGCACCTCTCATCTCTGTCAGAGAGTGAAGCGTACCCCGCTTCTTTCACAGCTTCATGAACAGAGAACAAAGCGGAGAGTACTTGCCCCAAAGAGTTGTTGGTCTGAAGCAGCCTGAGAGTAGGATTCGGTCTAACCTGTGGCCATTTTTCTCCCATTGTCTTGCTGAAGCCCTCTGCCATATCTCTGTTCAGCTGTTTTGCTTAGAGCTGTGCCAGGACAGGTGTCAGATCACAGGTAGTGTGTTTCCTCCTCATCACCTCTTGCTGCTGGACCGAAGGGTGTGTATGTTGAGCAAGCATCACTAGCATTTAGAATTTATCACTCCTGGCCAATCAAGAAATTATCAAAGAGGCAATCCTCCTTACAGGCTGGGATGAACAGAGTGATGCGTTTGTGTTCTGGATTTTATTGTAGTAGCTAATGAACTACATGAAATACAGTGGCATTTTACTGGGAATGCAGCAGGTATAATAAACACAATATCTGATAGCAGTAAAAAAGCACGTCTCAACTTTTTCTGATATAGAATCCTAATTGTTTATCTATTTCTTTGTGTGCCCAAAGAGTCCCTACAAGGAGAGTTCCAAAGGAAGCTTTACAAGGAGCTGCTGAAAAATTACAACCCTCTGGAGCGACCCGTTGCAAATGATTCCCAGCCACTCACTGTCTACTTCACTCTCAGCCTCATGCAGATCATGGATGTGGTAAGTGTGTAACCTTCTAGGAAACTATTTCTTTTGAAGGGTGGATTTTTCCTTCCTGGAACAGAGATGTGCCATAGCAAAGGAAGATTACAAGATATTGGAAAGCACAAATAATTCAAGACACAATGCCAAATTTTGACTTGCTTTTTAAAGAACTAAACTGAAAAGTTAAGATTCTTAGATCTCTTGTCAGAAATTCCCAATCTTCTTTGCAGTACAAAATACTTCAAGGGAGGATCAAAATATTTACTTTGCCTTTTGAATCCTTAACTGTACTTAGAACTAACAAGCAGTGTAGTCTGGGAGGGATATGCAAAACCAAAGCTCTTGATTTCTGGGGGCACTTAAGAGCTTCTTATAGTTGGAGATGGAGGAGAGAAGAAATCTTGGCCAAAATCCAAATTATATTATTTCTTGTGGTATTTAGACAAGATTGCTACATTATATATGCTTAAATACCTGCTCTATTTGCAACCACAATCGCTTGGTATATCAATAGATATTCCTGTGCCTGGCTTGTAAAATGCACTGTAGGATCTGCTGGGTTCAAATATGAGTAATTTAAGCTTCACTCTGTCACAGCTGCACAGAGATGAAACTCAACATATGAGTGAGCTTGCAGTATTTGTATTTGAATTCAGCTAGCTATGATAACCAATGAAGAAGTTAAATGCTTAAATGCTTAAAACTGTAGTTATCCTCAAAATCCATCTTCCCCCTAAGATGTTTAAAGTTCAAGGCACAAGAAAATGATAAAAGAAAAAAAAATAAAGATAGGATTATTCATGACAAGTGGCTTGCTATCTGTTCCCTTGCATGCTAGCAGTTGCCAAAATCCAGACACTGTTTATTTAGTATTTGAAAGTCAGCAGACACAGAGAACTCTGCCAGTGCTTATAGTTTCTATGCCTGTTTTTGAAAGTTTTAGATTTATTAGAACCTAATGTGAAAACTGGTATGTGTATTTTGGGTTTGATATTTACTATCTGCCAAAGTGAGAGTAGGCAGTCACAGTCAGTGAGCTGTTTCCCTGGTGCCACTAAAGCCAACAGGCAAACTCCATCAGTTCCATCCTTGTTACAGCGGCTGAGTTCTAATGTCTGTGATACCAGTGAGCAGAACAGGAGTTGTATGGAGTCATATATTATCTGAGTGACGGTGGGTGAAGAACACATGTTATGCAGAGTGCAACAATTTCAGAGAGTGTTGGCAGGTTGAACTCAAAGCAGGCTGTGGCTGCACTGCACAGGCATCTGAGAGCCAGGAGAGGACAGCCAGGTATTAGACCCAAACTTTGATGTGAGATAAAAGCCTGTACCAGTGGGATGATATAAGGAATGACACCAACAGCCTGCTGAGTGTATGTGGGCCTGCTGTTGTTATTAATGGTGTTTGTTATGGGTGGGCTTAGAGGTTTGGAAAAAAGGGGATCTCCTCATGCTGGATGCTCTCCTAACACAGAGTCAGCCTAATCAGACAAGTAAGCAAGAATGCTTTTTGACTATGAGAGACAACAGAGAAAGTGTAAAAGCAAGGAACAGCACAAAATGAATAAATGATACCGTGTTAATAAGGGGTGCATTAATTTTGAGTCATTTGTTCAGAATGTATCAAGGTAACACAAAGAATGAGTTATTTGAAGGGCAATGTGAGCCATGAGGACAGGGCAGGTCAGAGGAAACTAAGAGAAGGAAGCTGAAGTGAAGAGCAGTGTGGAACAGGCAGTGATTTAAAGGTCTGAATGCCTGAAGTTCCCCAGCCAAGTTACTGCTGCAGCTTCTCACTGTCTCCAGCCTTCAGCGGTTGCTTGCCATGTAGACAGGGCAGGAATAACCACTCAGTTCTCTTAGCCCCTCATCTGTGTGATGGAGTTTTTGTCTCACTCTTCTTTCCAGTGCATCAGGCCCCTTAGTGGCTTCTGCAGGAGCTCCTGCTGGCTGGAGTCTTCAGCTGCATAGCTCTGGATTTAATTACATTTTTATCTTTGTATTCAGGAAGGCTCAGCCAGTCTGTTCAAGGCCTGTTCAAACTGGGTACCTGAACAAAACGCCCCATTTTAATGTATCTCTGCAGAACTCAGCACAGTACGTGGTGCTTCCACTGAATCTTAAACCAGGCTTCAAAAAACACCCTTCTCAACCATGGACTTTGTTTATAGGGCCTTCTTCTGTAGCTCCCTGTAGGGAAATGACCTTCTGCTGCAGTATGTGCCTTCTCACAGCTACTGGAGGAATTTTTGCTTTGGCGCAGCACAGTACAGTTGCCTTCAGAGGATTTTTATACTACTCAAGTTTTTTCCCCAGCTTTCATAAACTGCACTCTGGTGTCATAAATCATGCAGAATTAGCCTGACTATGTTAAGGTAATGTATTTTTGAATATTAACCATCCCAGGAAAGGTTTGTTGTACAGCCAAACACTCCTAGTGATGACACAGCTTACAGAAGCCTTCTGTAGGTCATCAGAAATGTTTCCTGAACAGAATAGCCTGAATGCCAACAAGATGTTTTTCTCTACATAAATTACATCTGTACTATAAAGGTTTCATTTGCATTTCCATGAGGTAATAATGGGTCTCTCTCTTCCATACGCTCCTGATGTGGTTATAGCCATGTTCTTAACTGGAAGTATGAACAGTTGGCTGTTGGAGACACAAATGGCTAAAGGCCAGCAGGTAGTCAACTTTGTAGAGTTAATTTCTTCTGGAGTTGTCAAATTTAATTAATTACCATATAAAACAAAGGGATCACTACATACAAAACACATATTACTAGCCAATCTGGGTATAGTCAGTGACTGGCAGTCGTGGCTAATATGATTCAAAATGGAGTTTTTGATCCCATGTGCCTTTCAAAAACCCCTTCATCATCAATAAGAAACGAGTTTTTGTACTGGCTGTTTAGTTACAGCTCTTTCTGCTTGTCATAAAACTCACTGCCTTTCTTTCTCAGAGGTCTGGGATTGACAAGCAGAGAAAGAAACCAACCATGAAGTAAATTAAGCTTCATGCTATAAAACAAATGAGTTTTCTTCATTGTCAACAAGAAGCCAATGCTGTGGGAATGACAGCTACTTGCAATAACAATTACTGGTTTAACAAGCTAGAAACAAAACATGTCACCATCATACTTAGCTCTAGTTTATATATTCCCTTTAATGGCTTCTCAGCTGTTAGCAGCTGAGTCTGATTGGGAGTTAAACCTATCCAGAGCTGATCCATCAAATCCCTGCCAGAATAGACTGAGCTAGGCTGGATCCTGGCTGCTGCTATTCCTTACTTGAGGTCTCTTCCATTCCACTCTGACTATGCTGACAGGAAAGACAAGACAGTAGATGAAATCTTTTCTAAACACAGTGGATGTTTCCTACCTTACATTTTTAGCTTAACCCTTCCTTTTAAAACCAGACATTATTTCTACTCAATGCTTGCAGATATTTTATTGGTATTGTACATTAATATGCATGCTAGTGTCAGAGCTACATAATGATGGATCTGTAAATGCCAATTGCCCCAATTTAGTGTAGTTCATTAGAAAATAGAGTTAGTGAATTGTCTGATGAGAATGCAAACTGGCATTATAAATTATACAAGATGTTTCTAAATGGGGAGGAAGAACAGTGGCAGCATGAGAAAAATGGAGTTTGGGGACACACGAGTGAAGCTGAGAGCTGGGAAACTAAGGGAGTGCTTAGATGGGGAGAGCGAACGCTTAAGATACAGCAAAGGAATTTGGAAGAAATGTGGAATTTGTGTGGAAGAGGATGAGAGGCAAAATGGAAAGAAGAGAATTGAAAGAACAAACTTAAAAAAAACCTCTCACAAGTTAACAAGAACTTCCAAGACAGAGATCCTGGGTGTCTTTCAGTTTGTTTTTTAACTCTAGTCCACTCCTGGTCTTAGCTGTGATAGATTTAATTTTCTTAGTAACTGGTACAGTGCTGTATTTTGGATTTAGGATGAGAATAATGTGGATAACACACTGATATTTTGGTTGGTGCTAAGCAGTGTTTACAAGTCAAGGACTTTTCAGCTTCCCACACTACATTGCCAGTGAGGAGGCTGAGAGGCACAGGAAGCTGTGAGGGAACACAGCTGGGACAGCTGACCCCAGCTGACCCAAGGGATATTCCAGACCATATGGGACCATCCTGAGTGTATAAACTACAGGGGGCTGCTACTTGGGAACTAGCTGTGCATTGGTCGGTGGGTGGTGAACAACTGCACTGTGCATCACTTGTTTTCTGTATTCTAATTCTTTTATCATTATTCCTTTGCTGTCCTAATTAACTGTCTTTATCTCAACCCATGAATTCTACAGAAATCAGATGTGTGTTGTTTAGCTGCCTGCTGGGTTAAACCACTACAATTTCTTAACAGAAAAATCACGTCGTCTTAAACCTTCACAAACAATCCTGCAACTAAATCACCCTGAAGTGAAAACAAAGTGGAGACAGCCAACTGGCAGAAATGTTCTTTAAGGGTATTTCGGTTCTTATAATATCAGAAGATGGATTAAGAAGTTTCTTTTGTTTTTCGTAGTTATTTGTTTCAATTTTCTTGAAATGAGAAATGCCAAGCAAGTTGATGAAATAACCTACTTCCTCTCAGATTTGCTGAAATCTTGTTTCAAGACTCCTTGTAGGAATGAAATGTATATTGAAGTGATAGCCTGATAATAAATGTCTCTCAGGATTTGAATCAGAAAATGGAAATATCTGACTTAAGAAGACTAAACAAAATTGAAGAATAAGCATGGAAGGGAAATCTGAAGAGACCAATACTAAGGCAGACAGTGGAAGGAGAGGAAAAGGGTTAAGGGGTAGTCATGGCTGCTCAAGGTCATACCTTCAGTAGAATGTCAATAAAAATAAGGAATAGGATGTGAAGAAGCTATTTTTCGCTACATCTCACCTCGTTGGAACCTCCTAACCTGCACAAAAGGCTGTTTCTTTGACCTCTACCTGTCTGGTATTTCAGCTCTGGCCTGGAGTATTAACCTA